CATCCAGAGTTGGCTTGGTTGTGTGTTGATGCAAAGCGATAAGGTTATATCTTATGCCTCTAGAAAGCTTAATGTGCATGAGAAGAACTATCCAACTCATGAGCTCGAGCTTGCAGCAGTGGTGTTTGCACTCAAGATATGGAGACACTACTTGTATGGTGTGCATGTAGATGTGTTCACCGATCATAAGAGCCTTCAGTATGTGTACACCCATAAAGAGTTGAATCCTCGCCAAAGGATATGACTTGAGTTCCTTAAGAACTATGATATGAGTGTGCATTATGATCCTCGAAAGGCATATGTAGCGGCCGATGCTCTTAGTATATTATCTATCAGTAGTGAAGCCCTTGTTGAGGAAAAACAAGGATCTAGTGATGGATGTTCACAATCTTGCTCGCTTGGAATTTCATCTTATGAGCATATCAGAATGCGGCAGAATCGTCTTTGGTAGTGGAGGTTAAGGAAAAGCAAGAGAGTAATCCGATCTTGCTTGAACTAAAGGGTGCTGTCAACAATCAGAGAGTGGAGGTTTTCTCCCAAGGGGGAGATGGTGTACTTCGCTACACAGGTAGATTGTGTGTTCCTGATGTGGGAGAGTTGAGGCAGCATATTCTTGCAGAAGCTCATAACTCCAGGTATTTTATTCATCCAAGTGCCACTAAGATGTACCGCGATCTGCGGGAAGTCTATTGGTGGAATGACATGAAGAGGGATATACCATACTTTGTGAGTAAGTGCCAGCAAGTTAAGGTAGAACATCAGAAACCAGGAGGTATGACTCAAGAGATCAATATTCCTACGTGGAAGTTGGATGTGATCAATTGGATATCATCACAGGGTTACCTCGTACTCGTAGACAACATGACTCAATTTGGGTGATAGTTGATAGGATGACTAAGTCTTATCGCTTTTTGGCGGTGAAGACTACATATTCGGCAAAGGACTATGCCAAGCTTTACCTTACTGAAATTCTGAGGTTGCATGGGGTTCCTTTGTCTATCATCTCAGATAGAGGTCCTTAGTTTACCTCTCAATTCTGGAAGTCATTTCAAAAAGGTCTTGGTACTCAATTAACCTTTGTACAACATTTCATCCGCAAACAGATGGGAAGGCTGAACGTACCATTCAGACCTTAGAGGATATGTTGAGAGGTTGTGTGATCGATTTCAAAGGTAGTTGGGATGATCACCTTCCTCTTATTGAGTTTGCCTACAATAATAGCTACCATTCCACCATTCATACGACCCTTTATGAGGATTTATATGGGCGTAGATGTAGATCTCCTGTTGGTTTGTTTGAAGTAGGTGAAACAACTTTGATAGGGCCAGATTCAATCCTTTATGGTATGGAGAAAGTGCAACTCATTAGAGATGGACTTAAAACAGCCCAAAGTCGTTAGAAATCTTTAGCAGATGTAAGGAGAAGGGAACTAGAGTTCCAAGTTGATGATTGAGTTTTTCTGAAAGTCTCACCTTTAAAAGGGGTGATGAGATTTGGAAAGAAAGGAAAGCTCAGTCCTAGATATGTAGGCCCTTACAAGATCTTGAAAAGGATTTGCAAGGTGGCATATGAGTTAGAGTTGCCAGCAAAATTAGCAGCAGCGCATTCGGTTTTCCACCTCTCACTCTTGAAGATGTGCGTGGGTGACCCAGCCTCTATAGTGCCATTAGAGAGTGTGGCAGTGAAAGATAGTCTTTCTTATGAGGATGTACTAGTAGAGATTCTTGACCGTCAGGCTAGAAGGTTGAGAAACAAAGAAGTCGCTTCAATTAAGGTTTTGTGGAGGAGACAGTCCGTAGATGGAGCTATTTGGGAAGAAGAAGCAGCCATGAAAGCCAAGTATCCTTACCTTTTTTCTTCCGATTCCACTCCAGCTTGAGGTAATAGTTCCTCTTCAGTTTTACAGTCATTCATGCGTAAATTCAATTTTAGAATCATGTTCCCTTAGTTTGTACTTTCATTTTTAGCTTAATTGCATGTACTCAGAACCCACTTCTCACTGTTTAGTAGTACGATTTGCATCTCTCTCCCTCTTTTCAGCTAGTTTAGTCTTCATTCTAGGATGAATGTTCCTAAAAGCGAGATAATGTAACACCCCATAGCCAAAACAAACCAAAAAATAGTTTTTCAGAAAAATCCGCAGGTGTTAACTACAGTGGCATCGACGGACCGTAGCCTAAACCACGATCCGTCCTGCACAACCGTTGATGGGATCAGAAATTTCCATAATTTAAGCCTAGAAAAATTGGTTATGTCTTGGACGACAGACGAACTTACGACCCGTAGGTCAAACAACGGTCCGCAGTCCGTGACAGTTGATCAAGACTCCCTTCAACCACTCTCTAACCAGAGGATGACCAACATGGTTCGTAGATGGACCTACGGTCCGAAGGTCTGACCGTAGGTGGAAAATTTGCAGCCAGTTAAGGGGAAATGCAGTTGGGTCAACTTAAAATGATCATAAATATTAGCAAAAAGTAAATTAGGTCTTCTATAACCTACCCACAGATAGATAATTGAATTATATTTCCATAGTGACCGACCTTGCTAAAATCAGACATCCGAGTAAAAAGTTATTCCCATTTTAGTAAAGTCCTGTCGAACAGGACCTCACGACGAACCCAACGACAAGGCGTCGGGCACACGACGGACCGTCAGTCTTGGCCGTTGTGAGGCCTGACATCAACTTTCCCAGGGGTCTTTTTAACATTTCCCACCCCATTTAAACCCTATGTTACGTCGTTTTGACCCTAAATCATCAGATTTTAGTCAGTTTAAGCCTAGAAACATAATTAAAATATATCCAAGTCAAATTATTAAATCAATACCTAGAAAACTAGAAGCAAGAGAGGAGAAAAAAGCTCAAGAACCCTAGTTCAAGAACACCACAAGCTCTAGCAGTTCCAGCCCCGAAACTTAAGTATTTTTCGTGGATTTCATCACCAGGTATGTCGGATTTCACTAGTAGGTTGGTTTAACCCATTGGGTCCTTAGTTTAAGTCAGTCCTTGATTCTCTTATCATGATTAAACCTATGGTTTCTAGAACTTTGATATAACTTCATGAATTTATTGAATATATGTTCCAAATCATATTATTGTATTTTTTTAGTTCTTGAATTGCACATGCTAGGTCATATATTTCAGATACTTCAGATATACATGCCTCAGTTATAAATGCATAATTACCAGATTATTTGTTGCATTCTCAGTTTGCATGTTCATTTTTAAGTTATCTTGTATTTACCGAAATATAGATATAATCAGTTAATTTACAGAATTCATTGAGAGTAGCATAATACCGAGTTGGACTAAGGTTTAGCGTACCCAATAGTCCCAGAACTACTACCCACGTAGGTTGTAAGTTCCCTCTGTGGGCAATCAGTTTAGTGATCACGCTAGAATGCCTTTATACCTTTGGCAAGATATATCGGGTCCTCTCGATGAGGCGTATACATCACACTCCACATTTAGCTCATGTGGTTTTATTATCGGTTATTAGTAGCTCCCACAGTTCAGTTAGACTCTCTGGATTGACCATTTATCAGTATATTTAGTATTAAGTTTCAGCATGTTATTGATTGGTCATTGCATCCAATTAGCTTAGAAATCAGCACATCATGTTCAGATTATTATACTTGTTTTTGTGCTTGTTCAGTTATGTTTTATTTCGTCTTTACTCTATCCTAAATGGCTCAGTACCTTTCAAGTAGTGACACATACGTGCGCTACATCTTCTCGTGATGTAGGTGCAGGTTCTCAGCATCCAGATCACACATAGATCGATTCCCGATATCCAGTTCAACAGATTCAGTGTTGAGTCCTCATTCTCTGAGGACAACATTCATGTGTTTCATTTCAGCTGTTAGTCATTTAGTTTCAGTTTTTGGTAGATTTAGCTAGGGCTTGTCCCAGTATTTCTATTCTAGTTCAGAGACTATTTTCAGACATAGTTAGATTCAATTTAGTATTGAGTTTATATTTCTTTTGTATTGAACTCATTGTTTTCAAATATCTCAGTTATAGAATATGGGTATTACCCATCTTTTCATTTTAAGTTTGATTTATCTTCCGCAAAAGTTTATTATCTTTAGTATGCTCATGATTATGCCAGCAGGGTTAGCTTGGGATCACTTGTGGTCCTAGGTTCTTTGTCCGCGTCTCGGGGGTATCTCGAGGCGTGATATTCTTCCTCGCAGCCAGAATTTTATGGCCAGTATTTGGAAAGTCTCTACAATTGAACTTTCTTAGTGTCATTTTGACATTTTTAACTTTCTCCAAATCAGTCCCAGAGAATGGTCCCACACAGTTCCAGACACACTCAACTATTTCCTTGAAATCTGGATGATCCGCTAGGTTGTTTATAAACTTAAAAGGTCTCGTCAACATGGGACCAATATATCTCGTTTTTATTGCAAGAGAGGTATGGTCAGAGAATTGAGACTAGTAGGGGTCCTTTACGAGCTTTTAGTTTCTCCCATATATTTTTCATTTTATTTGTAGTTTTGTTTACTTTCCAACTTTCTTGTATAATATCCACAGTGGATATATTTTTGACCTAGGCATAGAAAAATCTGAAAGAGACTTTACTTTTTGAGTTGTCATTGTGTGTTTTCAACTGAGCATCATAAGCTCCACAAAGTAGTCAAGGTTTCTAGATCCCTTGAGCTAATAGTTGTAGTTCATCCCACGAAGATTTCCTTTGTTCTTAAGTGTTGAATTCATATGAAATTGTGAATAAACATTCCTTATTATTTGTTTCATGTATGTAGCAACAGATGAGTTCTTTATGATCTAGAGTTATTTTGACATGGGACTTGCTGTCCGATATAGTCAAGAATCTTGCCTACTATCATACTAAAGGCGTTTTCTCTGTAAATGTTCAATTAAATGTGACTGCTTTTCACGATTCTATCTGAATATTAAATCCATCATTTGTTATTCTGCATGTGATATGCCATAGTGAAGGTTATAAACTGAACATATTTTTTTAATGAATTAGGTAATCTCTCTGCATGGAGCACAAAGGGATACATGGCATGTCCTACTTGCAATAAGGATGCATCTTCACAAAAGATAAGAAGTAAAATTTGTTACATGGGTCATAATCGGTATCTTGACCTTGGTCACTCATGGAGACGAAGCAAGAAATTCGATGGTAAGAAAGAAACTAGATTGAACCCACAAGAACTCTCAGGTGATGATGTCTTAGAACAATTAAATTTGCTAAGTACATTTAGAGCTGGAAAACACTCTAGTAATAAGAAAAAGAAACGCCGTCCTAAGGAGTTGAATTGGGTGAGGAGAAGTATTTTATTTGAGTTACCATACTGGAAGAGCTTGATGTTGCGGCATAATTTAGATGTCATGCACATAGAAAAAATATATGTGAGTATTTTGGGGACATTATTGAATATAGACGGGAAAACAAAGGACACATATAAAGCATGACAAGATCTTAAGGATATGAACATTAGAAAAGAACTATGGTTGCATCATGATGGTTCCAGTTGTACAATGCCAACACCTCTTTATGCTATGTCAAAAAAGAGAAAACAAAGTTTTGGTCATTTTTAAAATTGGTCAAATTTCTTGATGGCGATGCTTCAAATAGCTCAGGGTGTGTAAGTGTGGATGATGGTAAGATAGCTAGACTCAAAAGTTATGACTATCATGTTTTGTTACAACGAGTGTTGCTTATTGCTCTTATTGAATTTGTAAATAAAGATGTTTCTTTAGAATTAATTGAGGTCATTTCTTCAAACGATTATGTTGTAAGACATTGAGAAGAGATGACTTAGAAAAACATGAAAAAGGACATAATTAGTATACTCTCTAAGCTTGAGATGATTTTTCCACCAGCTTTTTTTGATGTTATGGTACATTTGGCTGTTATTTACCTTGAGAGTCTATGTATGGGGACCAATACAATATCGTTGGATGTACAAAATTGAGAGGTTCTTGTGCAAGCTTAAGTTTTATGTACGAAACAAGGCACGTCCAAAAGGTTGTATTGTAGAAGGCTATATTATCGATGCATGCTTGACATTTTTCTCTATGTATCTTACTGACTTCGAGACTAGATTTAATCATGAACATCGAAATGATGATGGATCTAGAAGCAAAGGTGAAGATGTTGTAGACGTATTTTCAAATAGTTCTAGACCATATAGAGATGGGGTCTCTTTTAAACCATTAGGTAAACATCTTATCATAATATCTCATAGGTGATGATTTTAAGTGGGAACTACCCTTTCACTTTAGAATGGATCCTAGTCACCCACATCACAACAACACAATTTTTATGATGTCATATCAAAGAACGATTTTGATACGGATCGGTGTTATGTACTTAATAATTGCGAAGAAACAGAACCTTTTCTTCGTTAAGTAATATTTATGTATATGTATGTTGATATTTTATTATTTTAAATTATTTTTAAATAATTTAGTTATTCCATGCAGAGAACATAAAGAAGAATTGTTGAAACAAGTTTTGAATGTAGACGATAAACACCGAGAACAATTTCCTTTATGGTCCAAGAGAAAAGTAAGTGATTTTAAGATAATAATCGTGTTATTGTTTTTTTATTTTATTTTTCATTACTAATAAATGTTGTAATTTTTTGTTGTAGATTGTGCAATTATATGACAAGGAAAATTCAATATCTATTAAGAAATTATATCCTTTGGCTATAGGACCTGATGTGCGTGCAAGAACATATACTGGTTGTATTGTAAATGGTATCAGGTTTCATGTTCAACAATACGATAAATTGCGTAAAAGTCAAAATTGTGGTATAGTTTTTGGAGGCTACAATGAAAATGAGGTGATTGATTTTTATGGTATTATAGTTGACATCCTTGAGTTAGAGTATGTTGAGAACAATCGAGTTCTCCTATTTAAGTGCAAGTGGTTTGATCTTTGCAAGAAAACAAGGATGCAAAAAGATAATAATTTTACGAGCATTGGTGTTAAAAGATTTTTGTATGAACATGATTCTTTTGTACTAGCTACTCGAGCTAAACAAGTATTTAATATTGGTTATCCCAAATAAGGGGAAAGCTAGCGAATTGTGCTCAACTTTCAAGATAGACATTTATATGATGTGCATGAAAAGGAAAATTCAGAGGCAAAAATTGACGAGTTTCATGTTACAAATGCTGAAGTGTATTAAGATATTTCACTTGAAAAAAATTCAATATCGATGATAGAGTGGATATATTTAGTGAACTACTTAGAGATGATGTTGATTCGATTATCTTAGATGCAAATGTAATTTAATTGGAGGTTTAAATAGAACAAGAAGTTGAAATCACCATGAAGATGATTCTGACTAAGATGATGAAACTATGATAGAGTACATCAGTGATCACGAGGAGTATGAAGGTAATAATAGTACTGATGATGATGAAGTTGATAGAAAATGTGATGGTGGCGACATTATTTGTGATGTAATCGCATAATAGTAAGTTCAATTACTTAATAATAGTTTTTCTAAATTATACATATCTTATTTGAATACTGTCGTGCCATTATCACTATACCAAAAATAATTTTAGTGATATTTTTATCACGTACTTTCACCATATAAAAGTCAAGAAGCCTACAAATAACTTAAATGTCATTATTTTACTCCTTCCATGTTTTTTTCATTCCCTACTATTCTATTAGGTCGCCAAAAATAACATTATGTTTTTTTTTTCTGAAATTAGTTTTTTACTTTTAAAGAAAACCTCGCTATCAATTTCAGATTTTTCTCTTTCCGTGTAGGGATCTTTATGGACTAAATGAAGACAAAGAAGAACAAAATTGCAGGTTTGCCTTATAAAGTTAACAACTCTAATATTATAACCTTGTTTAAATTTATTTGAATATGCTTAAATTTTTGTTTGAGGCCTGCAAATGAATAAGCATGTCACCTTTTCTGCATACATTGCATCCTCATTGTAAACTTATTTTGATGAATCAATAATTTGTTGTTGTTCTATCCACTATTATGTCCAACAAATGTTTTTTCATAGACAAGGTAGTGCAATGGAAACAACCTCATTTGAATCATACAACTCAGTATCAAACCACTTATGTAAGTCATTTTTAAATTTCTTAGAAATTGTGAGATCCCTAAAATAAACATGTACAAATGGTTAAGAGGGTTGTACAAAAAGGTAAGGTGAACACTTGAGTGTCCTAGAATCCTAACAAACTAGCATTTTGTGGGTGATAAAGTGAAGTTACTCCCTCATATTATCATAATTGGAAACAACTCCTCTCAAATATTTATAGTAGGAACAAATTTCTATTGAACCATATCCTTTGAGCCTTCCACTTGGGTTTTTATCTTGTCCCCTTTTTTGGACATCCTGTTCTCAAATCTCGTTAGGTGTAAAAGGGAAGAATGCACTTAGGTGCTGAAATTTCTTATGTCGAATAGTCATTAGATTGGGAAGCGTCAGTGTCTTCCTTGTAAAACATTTCATCAAATACCTTGCGCTTATCAGTATCACATTTGTATTTTGATTGCTTAGCGAGGTTTCAAGAAAGAAATGTCTCTTGGTAGACATACAACAAGTAATCATTGTGACTGAGTACCAAAGTTATTTTGAGGCTATGCTATTGGTCATGGGTGAGTCAGTTGTACTTTCGTCAAGTCATTTATTTGTTCAACCACATAGAAGCAATACATCCACTTTACATCTGCGGTCTACCACAATCTTACGGTGAGTGGTCGTATTGCTTCTATGTGGATAAACAAATGCAAGGCATACATATAGTACAACAGGCTCACCGAGTACAAGGAGGCTTTAGAAGGCTTGAATCCCGATAAATGGTTTATGCTATTAAGGGTAATAATAATCTCAAGATCTTGGAAGATTTGAGAGGCCTTGGTTGTGGAGCTGTTTAGGTTAGTGAAAATGAGTTCAGATTGGCACTTCGTGTGGGATTTGATTCTACCAAGTGTAGTTTTAATGGAAATGAATGTTATTAGTGGACCTAGTGCTACCCAAGAATGTGTGCTTTTGAACATTGACCACGAATTTGACTTGGATAACATTATTGTAGCTGCAATGCTTGTTGGGAAAATGAATCATGGTCTAAAATCCGGCGTATATACACATTTAAAGACAATTTGAGATCCTCTAATGGTTTGTAAAATTGTTGTTTCTTTTAATCATTGTAATATGATAAGATGTGGAATTCAGAAATTTCCTTCGTAGTTTCGTTCCTGTAAATGTTGATATTAGTTATTTGAATTGTTCAACTAATAAATTTCCCTTTAAAAATTAAATAAAATTGATATGACGGTATTTATTTCATTACCAAATTATTGATTGGTTTCTTCTTTCATGAAAGGTTATTGTTATCATTTTCGAAAAAAAGACATTTATTACATGATATTTTCTGACAATTATACTAACATGTTTAACTTTTACCCATTAAAAATTTGTATATTTAAGTGTTATTTTTCATTGAGTAAGTGACTCACTCTTCTGTTTTTTTTTCTTACTGATGCAGGTGACATTTTGATGCTTTCTTTAGCTAGAATGCATGAGTTGAGAAATGCACGTGTACAAGCATTGCTTTTTGTCGGCAATAAGTTATTTATTTGTTATTGTGCTTTTATTTAAACTTTTTTGAACTGTTCATCAGTCAATTCACTAGAGTTATGAGTATTCTTTCATTATTAGTGATTTGTAATAGACTTTTTTTTGTTTTTGGAGATGGATATAGTATTATTATAATACTAATAGATTGTTGATGAATATTATGGTTTGTTTTGAAGATATTGGTTTAATAATGTATTGAATTTTAAACAGGGATATTTTTATATAGGCCCAAAAAACATATGAAATTCTGCCCAATTTTATGTAAATTTTCATTAATGTAGCTAGTGAACTCATATCATTCAAGGACACAAGAAAATTATACATGTGTAGTAATTTTACTGAAATTATTTTAAGTTTCTTATGATTAAATAAGATATCATGACGATATGATCATGTAGTTAAAATAGATGATAGAACGGTTGGAGTGAATACTTTTTTTGAAATTGTTTGTAAGAGTAGTGATGCTAATTTATGACGATAATTGGGTTGTTAAAATATGTTGACTTTTATTTTTTTAATTATATATATATATATATATATATATATTACTAAACAAATGCCACAAATTGATTCCGAGAGTATACAAACAATCATATATTTGAAAATTTGAAGAGACTTAATAGTTTTGGAGGTTTGTTTAAAAAATTCTTTATATAGTGTTGTTAAAATATTTTGACTTTATCTTTATTGTATTATTGTTTTTATCTCGTCTGCAACATTATATTGTCTAATAATTTAGAACAAAAAATTATATTTGTGTGGTGTATAATATATAATCGTTTTCTATTTTTTTTGTTAGTTTAAATTGTTTTTAAAATTAATTATTTTGTAATTTAGAATTATTATATCTTTTTCTGTATCCAATAATTGCACTACTCAAGTACTAAATTTAGGTTGTAGTTATTTGAAAATACATTTCTTTTGTGATAAAATTTCTTTGTAACTAAATAGAAAGTTGAATAGAGACACAATTGTACAATTGTCACTAATTGTTCGACCAATTAGTGATGAAAATCAAGGTTACAATTGATTGATAAAAATTTGCGGCTAAAAAGTTTCCTATGTTTAGCTACAATCTCTAATTTGTCTCTAATGTATCAACATATTTTTTTCAACAAAGTTATTCATATCCTAAAATTTACTAATTTAAGGAGAAAAAATGGTTTGTCGCTAACATATCAATATATGTTTTGCGACAAAAAAAAGACTATATAAAAATTATTTAATTATAAGACAAAAAATGAGTTGTCACTAATGTATCATTATATGTCTAAAAAATTTTTAACTAATTTTAGGACAAAACAATAATTTGTCACTAATACAAAAATATACCTTTTGCCAGAAAAATATTTCGTATCCAAAATTTAACTAATTTAGAGACAAAAATTAATTTGTCGCTAATTGGGAATATCATTAGTGACAAAATATCATGTCATTAATAATTTCAAATTCATGGTTAATAGCCATTATTAAATGGCGCCAATCCAATATTAGGTGAAAAACTTAAGTGGACAAAATTTTGCTAAGAAATTTATGTTTTGTCACAAAAAATATGTGACACATATATTTAAGCACAAAATGTATTTTTTGTCACTAAAAGCAAACAAATAGTGACGAATTTTGTGTCGTAGCTAATAATTTCATAGCTATATATCATATTTGTTGTAGTGGGTATGGTTAAAAGAGAAGGTAAATCAAGAAGTCCAAATTAAGGAAAAGGGAACCTCTCCATACAAAAAGGATAAAAAGAAGAAAAGAATTAAACCGAAAAAGAATGAAAAAGTTGTTCAATAAAGTTTTGAATGTTAAAAGAAAATGGGGTTTCTGACAGTTCATATAAGATGAATAAGGGGGTAACTAAGCGTTACTATTAAATTATGAAGAAAAGGGAAGAAATTGTTGTGCACACCATATATCATGAGGAATATAGCAATTCAGCCTAACTTATCAAACCGTTACACTCAGCCCCACTACAAGCCTTAAAAAGAACTTTTTGATCTTGAGTGAGGTAAAACATAGGTTGATTGAAAACTACGGGCAAAACTACGGGTAAAGTCGTAAATTGTGTTCATCTTTGTCAGTGTGAGCTTTGCAATTGATTATGGAGATTTGAAATTGATAAAACATTATGTGTGAATGTGGAATCATTCTTTGTGTGATGACATCTGGTTACCTTTGTGGTACGTGAATATGCATTTTGAATTAAGTATTGTGAACTTGACATTTATCGATAATGATAGTCACAACTTGGATCTTTGAATACACTGTTGTTACATGCATGATTAATTTGATTTTTTGTGTGCATTCGTTATTTAGTGTTGTGAAGCATTGTTTGAGACATCCTTTGTGAACTGATGAGCTTAGAATTTTACTTGAGGTCAAGTTAAAGTTTAGGTTGGGGTGTCAATGACTCCGCAATTTGGAAAGATTTTGGGCTTTATTTTAATAGTTCTAGTATCCACAAATGCATATTTTGTGCAAATAAATTATGAAAATCCTTGATTTTCAGGTATTTGAATTAAGGAACAAAGCATAGATACTAATGAGAATAAAAGGAACAAGGAGGTTGAATGAACAAAGAAAAAAAAGCTTAAGTATCGTCTTGCCCATTGTGCGAGTCCTCAAACAACCATTTTCTCACCTAATGTTCCAACGTGCCAATCCCTGAAAGACAAAATCAAGTAGGGGATAGAAAGGTTCAGTAAGCTTGTTGTCGAACGATAACACGATGCACTGCTACAATGCCCAAAGTTACAAAACCTAAAGATGCTTAAAGCCAAAGCAAAAAGGTGATCAAATTGACAAAAAGGGAGGATCGCCATCCACTCGGTGATCCCAACTGTCTACGTTGAACTGTCCGACACAATATAGGTTTTGGCGACTATAAATACTTATTTAAATTTTAGCTTTGTATCATTTTTCAATCTTATCCTTTGTTGAATCCTATTATTGTTCAGTTTATATGTTTGAGAGGAAGAATTGAGTTTTTGGAGGCATTTTTCATTGCATTCAAGATTTGAAGATGTCCAATTCCAAGATTGGAAGTGGGTATTGAAGATTACTTATTTAATCCTTTGTAAATATAGTATCAATCATACCAGTTGATGAAAACACTAGTTGGTAACGATTTCTTCATTTCTTTAGGCCTAGACAAAGCCTAATTCTTTGGGTGTGTGATTGTTTTATTATAAATGATATAAATTCCGGCTATTGCTAATTGATAGTTTAAATGATATTTGTAATTAATTTCATTTAGTAATTGTGGTTGAATTTAATTAACTGTAGTCTTTGGTTAGTGTTTTTGGCTTGCTCGAGAGAGCGGTTTTAAAAACAAAATTACTTTGTCGATGGTCTGTGGGTAGTGGGTTGCCATGAGTTCAACTCAAAAGAGATAATTGTAAACCCTCTTCCACACATTCATATTAAGGGTGTAAATGGACTAAGAAAGGTTGTGCTTAAATACCTCTTACTGGCGTTCGGGAGAAACCTATTTGGTTCAATGTAAAGTATTCAAGAGAAAATTTACCCCCATTAAAGTCTAGCTTAATCTCTGATGAGCAAATGTTTACTATAAATCACAATTTATGTAGTTGTTTACCTTAACCCATAATGCAGTCACATCCTAAGAATTTGATTTCCATAATGACTTTTTCGCATATATTGTTTTAGTAGATAATTAACTACAAACCCCCATTTTTTGTTAGTTTACACTTATGTCAGTCCTAAATTGATATGTTTCTCTTCATAAATCTTATTAGCTATGAATAACTTCAATTTTTTTTACGGATTGATTCTTGATTACAAAACACTATCATGGCAGTAAACCACAACTCACTAGTAAGGTTATAGTACTATTGAACGACCGAGGATGTCTATTATTGGATGAAGCGTGTGGATACGTCAATCAAGCCTAGCATAATCATCAGCTGAATATATAATCCTAACTGGTAATATATTACCCATATAGAATCAAACCTTCATGGAGCACGAGGAAAATAGTGATGAAGTCCATAGTTATCTATCCCATTTCGATAACGGAAACTCAATGTATTGGATTAGGCCTCCAAGTCTATTATGCTCTTCTTTAATTTGTTGACAGTTGGGACATTCAGCTACCATCTTTTGAATAGCTTTTTTTATGTCATTCAACCAATATATCTGTTGAAGGTCCTGATAGATCTTCCTTGCTCCAGCATGACATAAATATCTAAAATATGGGCCTTTGACAAAATATTTGTGTAGAGCTCTTCAACTATCGTTACACATACGCGACCCTTCTATTTAAGGACTCCATCTCCAGTTAGCTCAAATAAGGGGTGTTGTTGTGGAATATTTTCCCTCAATTTCCCAAGCTTGGGATCTTCATGTTTCCTTTTTTTTCTCACTTCGGTCACAACAGAAGTTTCTACCATATTCTTGACGACAACACCCCCGTCTCCTACATCTACCAAGCATAATTTCAAATTAATAAGCTGGCGTTGGTCTTTTGTTGTTCAAACCTTATGATCTTCAACTTGACTTAGACTCAACATAGACATCAGGTTATGAACACCAGCAACAACGTTAGCTTGGCCGAGATGATATAAAATTTAAACATCGTAGTCCCTTAATAATTCTATCCATCTCCTTAGTCGTAGGTTGAACTCCTTCTGCTTAAGTAAGTACAGAAGGCTCTGGTGATCGGTGAAAATATTTTTATGAACTTAGTATAGATAATGCCACCAAAATTCTAGTGGAAAGATAACTGCAGCCAAATCAATATGGTGCGTAGGTTAATTCTGCAAATGTTTCCCCAAGTGTCTAGCGATGTATGCAATTACCTTACCGTGTTGCATAAGAACACAACCTAGGAAAATTCTTGAGGCATCGAAACAAACAACATAGCCATCATTACCAACTAGAGGAATTAGGATAGGTGCAATGGTTAGCTTAGTTTCCTTATGTATCAATTTTTTCCATGATGCAGAAATAGAAGAGAATCCCTCCACAAACATTCGTTAGTATCATGACAAGCCTAATAAATTACCAACCTCCGTTGGATTCAAGGAAATCGGACAAGTAATCACTGCTTCAATCTTTTGTCCATTGACCTTAATCCTCTCACATTTAATAACATGACAAATAAAAGCTACTGAAGTAAGACAAAAATCATATTT